ACATAGGGAACCCCATTTCATGATTCTGCTTCATTCTATCTCTATTCTTCCACTCTGCAGAATCTGTTAGTTCAATCTCTAATGTTCTGCTCTCTCTGCTTTTTCTCATAATAGCTTTGCCTTGTTTGTTGTCTGCCTGACACCATCTTGGATAGAACTATCATCTGTGCTGCTTCCATCAACACCTTTGTTTATAGATGTTGGACATCTGCCTGTTTTCCAGTGTAGTCCTGTTTCTCTGACTGTGACTGGCTGGATGTGCTCTCTTCATCCTCTAACATGGGAGCCGGCTTGGAGCTCGTCTGCCTGGCTGTGTGTTTCCTGGACGGGGCCGCCTTTTACAGCTGCTTTTCGTATCTCTGCTTCTGTCTCCTTGAACCCCAGTCGGCCTCTGCAGATGGCCGCTCAAACTGAGCCTGGTTCTGCTGGAGGTTTCTTTCTGTTAAAGGGGAGTTTTTCCCTCTCCACTGTCGCTACAAGCATGCCTAGTGTACGGGATTGCCTTCGATTCAATGAGGATGCAATCAGCTGGTTTAGAACTCTTTGAATCAATTTGACTATGATGTGGTGAACTGTAAAGTGCCTTGAGATGACGTGTTTTGAATTGGCGCTATATAAATAAACTGAATTGAATTAAATTTAAAGCATTTAGATATACAGAATGACAATAGAATAATGATTAAGCCACTTGTTCCTTTTGAACTATTTGAAATACAGATGTGTTTGAGAACCTCATGTCAACCAGAGGTGGAGAGCTGAAGCAAAACAAATATGGCTGCACCTGTTTTAGCTGGAATACCCTCCATTTCTTTTAGAAAAAAACAAAAAACAAAAGGACATTATTTTTGGATGGAAAAAATGTTTGTTTTCCGCTAAACCAGATTTGCTAAGAATTTCATTTGATTTATCGGTTAACACAATAAAACAAATCAAGAATCTACGTCTCAGCTACTACTGTGGCTGTGATTGGCTCAACATGCGAGGTGGGTATCCAATCAGTCTGAAGAATTGAACTGAATGTCCCTCCCTCAACTGTGTGAATTCTGATATGTCTATCAAGACTAGATTTCTGAGTGAAGCTTTTTCCACGTCATATAGAAACGGTTCTGTACTTTATCTTCAGTCTCCTGCAGTGTTGTTTTCATCAACAATGACAAAATTATTTCATTGACTCTCAATTCATCGACTTCATGATAACGCGAACTGA